TTACTTTTTTAATTGTTGAATAGTAAGTTCTTTTATATTTTAACATCATATTACAGATAATTAATCACTTCACATACTGAGATGTATCTATCGTTTGGATGTTTTCATTATTTTTTATTTTTGGGTTTAGATGTTGTTATGTGATTCTTTCTTGATTAGTTGTTCTTGAATTTTTTTTATATAGTCGATATTTTAATTGAATTAAGAGTATTTATTTTACAATCTTATAATTTAATATATATATATATATATCATATAAAATCATTATATACTAATCCAATTTTAACATTTTTATATAATACAACATTTTTATATAATTTTTTTAATAAATTTTATATAATTTCTATTTCTACATATTTTATTTTCCAAACAAAATAAAAGAAAATTAAAGAGTTAGAATTAATTTTTATTTTATGTTACTAATTCCTCTTCTAATTTAACTATTATTTTTAATATCAAAATGAGTATTTATTTTACTATTTTATAATTTATCATACAAAATTATTAAATGATAATTACACTTTTATCATACGATATAACTAAAATTATCAAAATACACAAATAATTTAACTAAAATTAACATATATAAATATTCAAGTAACAAATCCTATAGAATGACAGTGCCAATATTATCAAAATAAATAATTAATAATACTTTAATTTTAATTTTAAATTAAAATTATTCTTTTATAACACACATTGCACCATCAAATTTTTTTGAAAAAAAAAAATAGCACGTACATTGCACGGGTCAACTGCTAGTTAACTATAGTATTTTCTTATTTATCTTCTATAATGATTATGCGATTGCTTTTATTTAGTATTATGTGCCAAATTTTGTTTATGATTTATAATTGATTGTTTTTAAGTTTTTCGATAAGTTCTTTTTAAGGTAGATTACAAACACACCCCCTGAGATTTACTTAAATTACAAATTATTCCCTGTGGTTCTAGAAATTACATTATGCCCCTTAACGTTTCTAATTTCATAACAAATAGGTCTTTTTATCAACAAATCATTAAGTTAATTAACAATTTTTAATAATGTCAAAATTTTATTTCAATTAATAATTCAGATAATTTTATTATTGTGTAGGTGAACAGTTAGAAATTTCTGTTTTTCAATTAATTCTGTTAAATAAAAAATTCTGACAGAGTGGTATTTTTAATTTTCCAAACCATAGGGGGCAATTTGTATTTTAAACAAACCTCATGGGGTGTATTTGTAATTTACCCTTATTTTTATTACTTAATTAATGTATTAATTTGTTCTATTATTATTTGTAGTGAAGTGATATTATTTAAATTATCCAATTTTACTTTTTTAGTATATGTAATATTCATATAATTTTATTAACAAGATTGAAAACCAAACTCTAATATTAATTTAATCGCATAACGAAATAAAACACTTTTTAAATACAACAAATTTTTTTAAAATTGATGACATAAGTTTATAAACTCTGTAACTCTATCCAATTGATGGCTGGAGTTGATGACCTTGTTAATGGCACTCTTCGAGGCTGAGAGGCTCCCCTTAGTTGTATAAATAGAGGCCTTCATTTTGTAGTCTCAACAGATAATTTTTTCAAAGCTCTTTGTTGAATTTTCTTTGTGTTCATCATTCCTTTCAGTAAGAGAGAGTACTGCCACTTGTTCAGTTCGCCAGAGTAGCTTTAGGAAGTGCTACTGTAGAGATAGACGTTGACAGACCTCTAACACTCTCCGATGAAACGGCGAATCTATTTTAAAAACACAGGCCTTGATCTGCCTATTTGTTTTTTGTTCTTCAATTTTCCAGATTCAATCTCATTGATGTCTTTCATATTTATTTCTCCTTGTTACTAATTTGTTTCTTGTAGTTCTATATTTTCCAGATTTGTAATTTGGATTTCTTTCAATTGAGATAATTTACAACAGATCGGAAAGGCCGGCCGGCGAACTAGGCCAAGCAAAACCTGTCTTGTTGCGAAACCAAGAAAAGGAACAAACAAAAAATATGTAGGTGGCTCAACTAACCACAATTACTTAGATTAAAAAAATCAAGACTGTTTAATTTTAATTATAAAAAAAAAACCAATAGAGTCGAGTATAGAAATAGATAGGTCAAAACTATTAGGAATGGAGTAAATTATGAAGTTATATTATTAAAGTAATTAAGTTCAAAATTAAGAATTTGAGCACGAAGTCATTAAAAACCCCAAGCCTGAAAGGATTGTCTCCACTAGACTATATTATTGGGCCCGTAGGACCTATCATAGGTTTAATTTTAATGATTTGAACCGTTCAATGTATAGAGCTCGTCAACTACTTCATCCATATAAAAAATCACATTGATCGGATATTAATAGCCCATTAATCAAATCATATTTTCGTTAATGATAAATAAGATTTTAAAAATAAATTGTCAATAAAAATGTATAATGATTAGGGGTGAGCAGCGGATATACCGTTCCGCCAAAACTGACCGAACCGAACCGATCCGCCGCATTTTAGACGGATGCGTGATGACGAGCGAACAGTTGCGGATTGATTTTCTCCAATTCGCCAATCTGGCGGACGGATGGTGGATTTGAGATTCTTTTGACCGCAACCGAACCGAACCGCGAGCATCCCTAGTAATTTATAAGATTTTGTGTTTTCAGTTTGTTTAAATATTCTGTTTGTGTTTTCAATTAAAAAAGAGTTTAAATATTCTGTTGAAAAAAAGTTTTCAACTTGAATATCTTTTTTGAATTGAAAAAAATAAACGTATTATTTATCTATATTTTTTGGTTTTTAAATCTATCTCTAAAAATAATAAATATAAAATATAATATATGCTGGTTGGTTTTTGTTTTCAAAAACAGATATAGATGTAACAATATAGAGACATACAATCTCTACTACTGCTCTGTTCATGATTTTGGTGGTTTGAATTGTTTTTATATTTTAAGAACTACATATTGTAATACTTTATGTTGATGAGGCATGCTGTGATTGTAGTATGTGGATGAGGCATGCAGTAATTGTGATATTCTAAAGTTTCAAACTTTCTTACTTTGGATGAGGCATGCAGTGATTATAATATTTTTTTTAAGTCATTGACTGTAATACTTTTTTTTTTTTTTTTTTAAGAAGTATACAAGTTCAATTATGTTGAAATTTTAAAATTTTAAACCGCCAAACTGATTCGCATTCATCTGCCAAACCATCAATCCGCTCAATCCACATCCGTCGGATTGGCGGACGGATGCGGATTGATTTTCTCCAATCCGCCAATCTGACGGACGGATGGCAGATTGGAGGTTCCGTGGCCGGAACCGACCCGCGCCCACCCCTAATAATGATAACGGTCTATCGATATCCGATTAATGTGATTTTTTATAGAAATAAAATACTTGACGAGCTTTATATATTAAATTTGAACAGTTCAGATTATCGAAATAGGACCCGTAGTGAGCCTCACGAAGCCAACAATACCGTCCAGTCGGAGACCATACTTCCCCTTTATCTATTACTTGATATATATACACATTTGTTAGATATTAAAGACATTTATATAGGATTTATTGTTGTTATTAATATTAAATTAATTTGTGTGCATCACATCAGATAATAGATAAAATATAATAAAAAAAAGATGATGATTGTAATATTACTCTTATACTAATTAAATCATTGTTGTTAATCCATGACACATGGACACAATCAAACTCATTTACTGTTGTGTGTGATCTCTGCACTCGTTGTTTTGACTTGAGTTGTTTCCGTGTAGTTTTGGTTGAAATAATCAGTTTTTAACTAATTATAATCAAAATATTTTTGCTCATTGGGCAATGACTTATTTAGCTGATAAAAAGGAGAGAAAAAAAATCACTGATAAAAAAGTAACTTTAGTATTTTTTAAATGGCATCAACTTTTAATTTTTTTTTTCTAAAAAAAGAAAAGAAACAAAAAAAGATGTAAAAAAAAAGAAAAAGATAGTAAATTGTAAATAGATGGGCCAATCACAAAATAATTGCACTGTAAATGAAAATATTTTTTTGTGTAATTTTGACACACACGAATCACTTGCACCAAGCACATGAATAAACTGTACCATACACACAAGAGACTTGCACCATCATAAAATGGAAGTATTTTTGTAAATACTTTTTATGCACCTCACTGATATGTAATTCCCTCATTATTTTTTCAGCGCTCTATTGAAATGCAATTTCTCCAAAAAAAATATTTGCCGATCTCCATCTAAGCTTAGACACATTTTTGTTTTCAAAAAACAGTTGTGTGAAATGTAATGTTGACAACACTAATCAATTTTGAATGAAATTAATTCACACTCAACTAGTATGAATACAATGCTTGTCAACACCATATTTTGTGGACGTGTAGTTTTGGTTGAAATAATCAGTTTTTAACTAATTATAATCAAAATATTTTTGCTCATTGGGCAATGACTTATTTAGCTGATAAAAAGGAGAGAAAAAAAATCACTGATAAAAAAGTAACTTTAGTATTTTTTAAATGGCATCAACTTTTAATTTTTTTTTTCTAAAAAAAGAAAAGAAACAAAAAAAGATGTAAAAAAAAAAGAAAAAGATAGTAAATTGTAAATAGATGGGTCAATCACAAAATAATTGCACTGTAAATGTAAATATTTTTTTGTGTAATTTTGACACACACGAATCACTTGCACCAAGCACATGAATAAACTTGTACCATACACACAAGAGACTTGCACCATCATAAAAATAGAAGTATTTTTGTAAATACTTTTTATGCACCTCACTGATATGTAATTCCCTCATTATTTTTTCTGCGCTCTACTGAAATGCAATTTCTCCAAAAAAATATTTGCCCAACTCCATCTAAGCTTAGACACATTTTTGTTTTCAAAAAACAGTTGTGTGAAATGTAATGTTGACAACACAAATCCATTTTAAAATTTACTGCTCTATGACATGGGAATCACTAATAGCAATTTCACTAGTCTATTCAGTTATCTAGCAATCACTAATACAGCAAAAGTAATGTTTATGCTTATGGAAACAAATAAGGGTAGTCATTGTTAATGAGAACAACCCAATATCACACATCACTAGAAGCATAATCATAACTCTCGAAATTCCATTGCAAATTCACAAAAACATAAAAACAAAAAATCACATCTCCTATACCCAATCCCCACAATTTGAGAAAAAAAAAAACAGAAAAAAAAAGAAAAAAAAAAAACCCAAAAAACCAATTATATTAACATTCCACAGTTGGTTTTTGGGTCAAAGGGGTTACACCACCACCCCCTCCACCTCCAACATCCCCACGGCCGCCACTTCCGGGCAACTTCCTCTTCGGTTTAGCCTCTTGCAACATTGACACAACGTCCCTCATCGGAGGTCGATCTGCAGGGTTTCGACTAGTGCAGAGCAATGCAACCCTTAGCAATAGGATCATTTCCTCCCTCACCGAGGCACATGATGCCCCGGCATTTTTGTCAAGCACGTCAACAAGGCCATCTTTAGTCTTGATTTTGGATTTCACCCAATCCACAATGCTATTGCCATCTCCGAATTCTGCATCCACCGATCTCTTCCCGGTTAGAATCTCCATCAACACCACCCCGTAGCTGTATATGTCACTTTTTTCGTCAACTTGTAGTGTGTAAGCATATTCTGCAAAATCCAAAAGCATCTCATCCCCTCAGTACACAAGTTAGAGACTATGACCATCATTAAACGTTGTTTTACTTACATAAAAATTAATAATAGTATATCTTATATGGGGATAAGATTTACAAAAAAGCGAGACCCACAAAATGTACAAGTGTTATGTCCAATTGTGAAATGTTTTCAAAACCATATGGCCATGTTTGGATGCACTAAATTGGATGTGATTAACATGGCTACGACTGTTACCTATAAAATTTCAACCTCTTTAGATTTTGTATCATATTTCATGATTGGATTGCTTAGCATTATGAAAAGGGATTGACAATTTTATAATTTAACTAACTACTCTCAACTTTTTATTTAAAATTCTTCATTTTGTATCTCATCATTCTTTGAATTAATAATATCTCATATGAGAAATACTGAATAGACTATTATTACATAGCCTAACTTTTTTTAATCAAATATGAAACTATTCATTTGTCATATTATTAATTCAATTTCAAGATCATATAGTACAAACAATCCATCAAATGTGTTTTTTATTTGGCCTCAACTGCTCAAAATGGTTTGACTTTCAAAGCAATGTCGAAAAGTGAAGTGAAGAGATAGAATGAGGCATATCAAAATCTAGGGTCAAGGCTCAACAAAATCTCTGTGAAGGGCCCATGAAAGAGAAAAAGAAGAAGTAAAGAGGAAAAGGGCACTTCATGCGCTACACTAGTACTAATGTCCTATAACCACGACAAAATGAATGAAATCCCTGTGTCATATGGTGGTCTAACCTACTTCCCTTTATGTTCAAAGGGCTCTTTTGGGAGGTGGGTTATAATCCACTTCTCAAATTATAACTCACATCTTTTCTTACAAAAAAATTACTTATAAATAGTTTATAATCAATTTTAATTAAAAAGTTGATTATAATCATTTTCTCAAAATAGTCCAAAATGTATTAAGTTGCTCTTCAATTTCAAAATGTTCCACGAAAATAAAAAACTCAACTAGAAAAATAAAAATAAAAATAAAAATAATTAAACATGACATAATATTCTTTTGACCATTTTTTATTTAATCACCGTAATGCACAATATGAAGATTTCGTTATTTAAACAATAACAAGAATTATTTCACAAAAATTGCATGACCAACCTTGATGATGTGTGCATATATCAAAGACAGAGTAACTTTGCATCACACTAAACGTAATTAAACAAATAAAATAACTATGTACCTGGCGCAATATAGCCGTAGGATCCAGCAATGACAGACATTAATTCATCGCTTTGAATTAGCTTGGCTACACCAAAATCGGCAACCCTAGCTACCATCTCACCATCCAACAATATATTGCTAGGCTTGAGATCACGATGCACGATCACTGGATCACAATCGTGGTGAAGATAACAAATCCCTTGAGCCACGCCCAATGCTATCTTGTATCGAGTAAGCCAATCCGCCACTAAATTATCACCCTTGTTCTTTCCATGTAACAAGTCGTCTAAGCTTCCGTTTGGCATGTACTCGTAGAGTAACATTGTGCACTCATTGTTGCTACAACACCCTAACAATCTCACTATGTTTCGGTGCCTCACATTCCCCAGCACATCGACCTCAGCCAACACACCTCGTCTTTTCCTAATCGTATCTTTATGCTTGCCCCACAACTTCTTCACCGCTATGACCTCGCCGCTTGGCATCTCGGCTTTGTACACTGTTCCTGTGGATCCCATCCCGAGGACCTTATCGCTCATCGAGAGGCATTCCAACACATCATCTGCCGTAAAATTCAATCGCTGGAAGGCAGTTAATTTCCATGGCCCGATCTCACGATCATCGGCAAATCGACGACTGTAGTTCGCTTGGAAGCACCGTGTGCCAGCGATGAGCACAAATAGGCCGATCCCAAACGCCGCCGCTATGATCCACACAATTGCGCCGGCAGTCTTCTTTGGTTCCTGACGGACCTCCACTGCTCCGGCCGCAAGGCTGTCGTCGGTGCCGCAAGGTTTTTGAAGAATTTTGCCGCAAAGACCTTCATTGCCTTCGAAGGACGATTGACGGAGGTTTTGGAATACCGCGCTAGAAGACGGTATCGGTCCAGTGAGCTGATTATACGAGACATTGAAATTCTCTAATGTGCTACAGTTATTGAAATTCGAAGGTATAGTCCCGGTCAACAAATTTTGCGACAAATCAACATCGGTGATCGATGGAAGCGTCGATATCTCCCACGGAATTATGCCGGAAAGCGAATTGCGACCTAAGTTCAAGTGAATCAGCTTCTCACAGTGATCAATGTCCCAAGGAATGCTACCATTTAGAGCATTGCCATCTAGCTCAATCTTATATAAGCTTCCACAACCAATGAAGTCCGGAATTTTACCAGTAATCATAGATGATCTAGCTGAAAATATCTGCAAAATCGGTGCACTCCATATATTCTCCGGCAACTCCGCCCTGAACGAGTTCTCCGAAATGTTCAAGAACTCTAACTTGGCCGCATTGCCGAAATCCCCGGGAATTTCGCCGGTGAAGTTGTTCTTGCTCAAATCCATGAACGTCAAATTGGGCAAAGAACCAAACCCGTATGGGATCGAGCCATTGAATTCATTGTTTTGTATTCGAAACCTCGATAATGAAGAACAATTCGCAAGCGAAGAAGGAAGCTGACCCACAAAATTGTTATCGAAAAGTATGAGTTTAACTAACATGTTTCCATGACACAGATTGGGAGGTACTGCACCAGTGAGAAAGTTCGAAGACACATCAAGCTTCTGCAACATCTGGGTCGATCCCAATTTTTCTGGTAAAGCTCCGGCGAGAGAATTGTTCCACAAAGACAACATTTGAAGGTTCGGAATCTCGCCGATACCGTCCGGTATTTCGCCGGAAAGTTGATTGTTCATCAAGTTCAGGACATTGAGCTCTTTCAGAGACGATATTTCCAATGGAATATGCCCTGAAAGACGATTATCTGACAAATCAAGAGCTTTCAGAGCTTTCAGGGTTCCGAGACTCGCCGGAATGGTACCGGAAAATTGGTTTTTGAAGAGCAACAATGTCTGGAGCTTCGTCAATTTGCCGATTTCACGGGGGATTTCGCCGGAGAGACCATTGGTGGAGACATCCAAGTACTCCAAGTTCGATAACTTCCAGAGCTCCGCCGGAACTTCGCCAGAAAGCTCGTTGTACCCGATTTCTAACCGCTCGAGCTGAGTCAAGGAACCGAGATCCGCCGGAATTGCACCGGTGAGAAGATTTCCAGCGAGATCTAAGAACTTTAACTGAGTCAAGTTCGCGAAACCCGCCGGAATGTGGCCGTCGAAGTAGCTGCCGCCGAGATTAAGGTACTCGAGGTAGCGGAGGCGGAAGAGTTCCGGCGGTACAGGACCGGTAAAGCTGTTGCTGTAAGCGTTGAAGGTAGTGAGTGATTTAAGCTTGGAAATGCCGACTGGGAATGTGGAGTTGAAGTTGTTGTGGCTGATATCGAGAGTTCTGAGGTATGGAAGCTCGAAAATGGCGGTTGGGAAGGGACCCTCGAAGGCATTGGAGCTTAAATTGAGGTGGTGGAGGTGGGTTAGGTACCGGATTTGGGCCGGAATTGTACCGGAAAGATTCCGGCGGGAGAGGTCGAGGGTGGTGATTTGGGTGGTGGTGCGGCGGTCGCATTTGACGCCGGACCAAGAGCACCAAATGGGTTGGCTGGAGGTGGCGGCGGTGGAGGTGGTGTTCCAGTCGTGGAAGGTGTTGAGAGGGTCGGTGAGGGAGGATTTGAGAGAGAGGAGAGAGATTAGAGGGAGGGGAATGGTGGTGGTGGTGGAGGAGATGATTAGAGAGAATGTTGTGATGAGAAAGAGAGAGAAAGAACAGTAGTGGTGGTGGTAGTGGTGGTTCATGGTTTTTTGGGAGGTTTTGGGATTGGGATTGGGATTGGGATGTGTGAGAGAGAGGTGAGTTGGGAGTAGGGATGAGAGAATGGTGAATTTAAGGGATGGGTCATGGGAGGTTTTGATGATGGAGAAGAGAGATGCTTTTTGGGAGTGTTGGGTGCAGAGGGTGTTTCATCATGATTTGTTTCTCCAGTGGGTTCTGTTAGGTGTGTGAAATTTCAACAGACAGAAGAGAGAGATAGAGGGAGGGAGAGAGAGAGACAATAGTGTGAGCTTGTTTGTGATTATTTCTTCTTCCTCCTCCTTTGTTTCTGGTAATTCTTCTATTTGTAATTCTAGTATATACACAAGTCTGATGCTCCGATTTTTTTTTTTTTTAAGGAGTATTTTGGGTTTGTCTCCCTCTCTCTCATAGAATTCTTTTTGGTTTTTGTTGCAATTCTCTTCTCCTTCTCCTTTTTCTTTTTCATTTTGGTCTACTTTTTCATCATTCCTTGTTTGCTTTATCTGTAGCCCAACATTCTCATAAATTTGGGCAATAGTAACCATTGTCTCTCGCAGGATCCAAGAAAGCCATATTCCAATTTCCACCCATTTTTCTATTCAATATATCGTTTTAAGGGAATGACTTCTGTCCGGTCCTTAATTAGATTGGACTGTATTGTTGAATTAGTGGAGATTCATTATAGATCTCGTTTTGATAATCTGAACCGTTCAATGTGTAGAACTTATCGAGTACTATATGCTTGTAAAAAATCACGTTGATTGGATATCGATAGCTATGTGATCAAAACAGATTTTTGTCAACCGTTAATTTATTCACCGTTCATTTTTTTTATACAAAACTGATTTGATCACATAACTATCGATATCCGATTAACGTGATTTTTTGCAGGCATATAGAATTCGGCGAGTTTTACACATTGACGGTTCAGATTATCAAAATGGGACCCGTGGTGGGCCCTGCAGGCCCAACAGCACGGTCCAGTCCGATTAAAGACTGGACAGAAGCCATGCCCTTGTTTTAATGTGGTGGGTGTTTGGAAAATTACTATTTTAGTAAGTTATTTTAATTTTTGACTATTTTAGTAAGTTAAAATTTTTGTATTTAGGAAGATGATTAAATTTTTTTGTAATTTGATGTGATATTTGTAAAAAAAGAAGTGAAATGATTATGAATTTGATGTGATATTTTATCTTATTAATTATTTTAGTCCATTTGTTTGTTTGTTTGATTATGGGTATTTTTTTAGCCTATTTGTTTGTTTATTTTTTTATCTTATTAACTATTTTAACCTATCTTATTAACTAGACCTAAGTTGCCAAACACCTAAGTATATGGATAACAATTGGCCTTAAAACACAAAAAAATAAAAAACAAGAATTGAACACTTTTTTATTGAAACAAATGCATATTTTTATTTTTTTTATACTTATTTTCAATACACTTTTTAACATAATTTTAATATTAAATAATGTACCAGGGACACTCTTTAACGATAAAGTAGAATATTATGTTCCTAAATTCATGGTATGAAAAATTGGAAGCATAATCCTCTGATTATGAGTGCAATAAAATAAAGAATTCTGTAAAATATCTTACGATGCTAAAACCCAATTTATTTCATATATTTTTGGTCTGAAAAATAGTTGACATATAATTGACTTTCTTTCCAAACAAGTTCTTGTCATATTAATACTTTTTTTTTAGTAAAATTATTTCTGTTTTCTTTGTTTTTGTAGAGTCCTTTAAAAAAAATCTAAAAAGTAAACAAATTTTATGGGGTGTTTGGCAAGTTGGATTTTAGTCTTTTTTTGACTAAAATTTACAAAAAAACAAAATAAGTTAAAATAGTTAATAAGATAAAATTTCATATCAAATATATAATTATTTTACTTTTTCTTTATAGAAAAATTCAACTATCTTTCAAAACACAAAAATTTTAGCCTACTAAAATAGTCAAAAACTAAAATAGTTTACTAAAATTGCAACTTCCCAGACACACATTTTAATCAAATTCTAAAAACTATTAATAAGAAGAAAAAAAAAAAAAAACCAATTTTACCCCAAAAGTTGGATTATTTCTAAATGTAGGTTTCGTTTAGGTTTTAAAATAATTTTTTAACTTTTTATAAAAAAATGTATAAAAAAATAAAAAAAAATAATGTGACAATTTATAATAATTTATTAATTTTTTAGTACATTAACAAGGAAACTAACCACAACAATAACAACAACAAAATTCAAATAAGATTTCAGAAGAAAAAAATCATAATAAGACAAAAATAAAATAAATTTTCGCAAGCTACCAAACCTAATCTATTGGACCACACACTACAAATGTGCACTAGTCATCCCCTGACCTATATTTGACAGTTTCTTATGTTTTATTTTTTAGTTTTTTTAAATGAGATGTGAGGCTTTCAATGGACTGGCGCGGGTGTTTAAAATTTGTAAAATGACTAAAATGCCTCTGCAGTATGTTAAAATATTTGTGTTAGACAGGAATATTGGATGGGCATTTTTGTCATTTGAAACTGAATATATAGTACTATTAAATTTTAGTGGTATTTGTCAGTTTGACCTATAGTAGAGCATTTAAAGTGAGGGATGTTTATTTATTACTTTCTATCATTAATGTTGTTAAAGTGATACTCATGAGTCATGATAGGAAACAAAGCTTTGAAGACAATCATTTTCTCACCTGAAATTTTTTAGTATTTTATTAATCAACAAAATTTGTTTGGCATACTTCCATTTTACTGCTTTTCTACTTGGTTCTTACTCTTTTATTGCCTCCTTATTAAGCTTTGCAAGGGTTGTTTTGGTTTTAAAAAATAAAAAAATCATTAAGTTATTTGTCATTAGCTAAACAAATTAAATATCACATTAATTTTTTCACTCACACAAAAAATAAAGAAAATAACTACGTCAAAAATCTAAAAAGTCATTAAAAAAAAAAATGCTTTGGGATTTTTTTGTGTAATTTTTTTTTATTTTTTGGCTTTTAAATGATTTACAAAACTAATGTTTTTAAGAAATTGTAAAAAAAGAAATTTTTTATAATTTTTTTTAATTGATGACAAACAGTTTAGTGAATTTTTATTTATTTATTTTTTTTACAACTAAAAGTTGACTTTTTTTGAGATGCTTCCAAACAGTGTAGTGTTTTCATCTTTGCAATGTTAATTCTCTGTTGTCATAAAACTGTTCTAAAATTGATTTGATTTCAAAACATAGAATATGTAAATAGCTGGTTAACTATTTTAGAAAGATAGTAAAAAGTCATCTTTCAGATTTTAATTTATTTTGAGTTACATCATCTCTCATATTTTTTATAATTTTTTTTTTAAAAAAAAAGTAAAATAAAAACCAAAAAATCAACTTTAACCATTTTCCCAAAACAACCAAGAGTTACATCAATTGATTTTACCACCATAAGGTTTTGGAATTTGCTATGAGTAGTTAAAATTGAAATACAATGTACTCAAAACAAATATTGTAAAGGGCTAATTAGTGCAAAATTCATTCTTAGGGGGTTAAATGTTTAATATTTTTTGGTAATAAATACATGCGTTGAAAAGTGGTTGACAAATTGGTCGGAAAGTCACCGATGACAGCAACTGGTAGCAGTGAGGTGGACAAATAAATAATATTGAACATATATATGACATGTGTATAAATAAGGAGATATTTGAACATATAATTAAACAGATAAGTGACATGTATACAAATAGATGATATTTGAACATATAAGTGATATCTGATCAAATAAACAAATTAGGAATGGCAACGGGCCGGGGCGGGGCTGGAGATTACACTCCCTATCCCTGAAGCTTTAAAATTCCCATTTCCTGCTTCTGATCCTCGGCGGGAAACCCATCACCCCCCGCCCCAGCCCTCTAATGGGGATTGGGGTTCCCCGAGCTTGAAAAATCCCTGTACAAAAACAACAAAATCATCAACAACAACAACAACATCATCCTTGATCTGTTTCATTTTCATCAACATCAACGTCATCAACAACAACATCATCAAAATCAACATCAACAACCAAAATAACTACACAACTGATCAACTACCAAAAAATAAAATAAAAATGGAAACAGAGAGAGAGAGAGAGACACGCACATACACACACGTATACATACACACATACATGAGATTTGGGTGTGTATCATCAACATAGATCTAAAGTTGTCCATTGTGAGAGACAATGATGACGACAAGAGATCGCCGATGGAATTGACGGTGTTGGGCGGCGAAGCTCTGGTTCAATGAAGGCAGAGCTACGGATCTCACGATTTGGTTGAACGATAGCAAAGCTACAGAGCTCTAGTTCAACAACGAGGAGCATCGACGAAAAATAGTGGAGGAGCATTGACAGAAGACAGTAGAGAAGCAGCATTGGAGAAGTAACGGGAAATGAGCAGAAAAAAGAGAGTTTGAGAAGAGAAATTGGGTTAGGGTTTGGAAAGGAACAGTGAGAGAGAGTGTGATTGTGTGTGATAGAACCGTATAAATGGATAAAGGGGTATAATAGTAATTTTAGTTTGGGTAAAGGGGGCTGGGGTCGAGAACAGGGATAGGGACAAGCCGGGCTAGGGTCGGGGCTAGGGACTGTATCACCATTCTCGGCCTAAAAATTGTCAAGGTTTCATTTTCGAATACCATCCCCAGACAGTCAGGGATATTTTTCGGGAAAAAACCTTTCTTATTGGGGTCAAGAGGCCTGGTCCTCGTCGAGTCGGGTTCAAATTGTCATCCCTAAGAAAATAGGTAAATTTTGAACACATATGCATCTTTTTGGCCCAAAAAGATATAGCGTTTTTGGTTTAGACCCGACCCATTTGATGTTTGGATCCAGGTTTCATTGTCTTATACAGTTATTCATGTCTTGTTTTCCTTTACGCCTCTTTGAGTTTGGCTATTGGGATGTGTTGGTGGCATTTAGAACAGGTTGGTAGCTTGTTTTTCAAACTATTGCTATCCATAATTCTCATTCGTCGCTCGAGTGGCACTTCTTGTGCTCAAGCGGTCTTTGTGAACTTCCAACACTTTTGCAAGTCTACAGAGATACTGGGAGTTGGCATTTTCCACTTGAGTGGTCTTTCTTGCGCTCGAGCAGTGTTGGCTTGAACAGTCCTTGTTGAGCTCGAGCGGTGGTCTTCTATCTACAAAACTTCTAGGAGTTTGTATTCTTCGCTCAAGCGAAAATTCCTGCGCTCGAGTGGTCCAATGTTTTTGCGTCTGGACGCTCGAGCGACACTTCTTGCGCTCAAGCGATCTATGCGTATATCAGTTCACAAGGTCACTTTTCTAAGTCACTTTTTCATCGCTCTCTCTCTTTAAACTTTTCAAAACCCTAGATCCACATCCTCTCTCTCTAAAACTCTATTTTTCTCCACAAATACACCTAGATCCGTCGAGTTCTTCATCCGTGTCCCTTTGTTAAAAAGGTATAACACTTCGTGTGGAATTTGATTAGAACAAAGTTTGGTTTTGGGCATTATTGAAGTTCCATCACTCTTCCTCTCGTCTTCTAAACTTGAGATAAGGATTCTTCGCACT